AAGAAAAGAGCTTTTTAATCCCATTAACAAGGTCTTGTCTCTTTCTCATTGCCAAGGCTAATTACGAGAGCTGAAAACATGCCGAGGTGTCTCTCCAACAGGTTGAAGAGGATGAATGTGCCTGATGCACAGCAAAGGAGTTTGATTTTTCCAGAGGGTCTCTTCTCTCTCCCCCCAAAATAAAAGCATGGTACTTGCAGACTCTGATCAATTATTTAGACTCTTTAATCCCCCCACCCCAAATTCGGTTGTAAACATCTATAAAAAAGATGTTGAGACTCTAGTGCAAAGAATAGCAACAAAGATGATTAGGGAATGGTGGCTAAAACATATGAAGAACGGTTGCAGGAATTGAGTAGGTCTAGTTTAATGAATGAGATGGCTGGATGGAGTCACTGAAGCAGTAGGTGTGAACTTAAATGGACTCCAGAAGATGGTAGAGGACAGGAAGACCTGGAGGAACATTGTCCATGGGGTCGCGATGGGTCGGACACGACTTCGCAATTAACAAGAACAACAACAACAACAGTTTAATGAAGAGAAGGACCTGGGAAGACATGATAGCAGTCTTCCAATATTTGAGGGGCTGTCACAGAGAGGAGGGGGTCAGCCTATTTTCCAAAGCACCTGAAGGCCAGACAAGAAACAATGGATGGAAACCAATCAAGGAGAGAAGCAACCTAGAAATAAGGAGAAATTTCCTGACAGTGAGAACAATTAATCAGTGGAACGACTTGCCTCCAGAAGCGGTGAATGCTCCAACACTGGAGTTTTCTAAAAACACTTTTTAATAAGAGATTGGAAAAGAAATGGTATAGGTTGGACTAGAAGACCTCCAAGGTCCCTTCCAGCTCTATTATTCTGTTATTCTGCTCAGAGATCATGCTTGCATTTATTTTATTTTATTTTTTGCAAATCCAAGGGCGTAGCAGGAAAGAGCAAACAATGCATTGGCCCCTCCCTGAGATATTCTCATTTCTTTCCATTTTTCTTGATGAAAATAAAAACAAATGGATCTCCACATAGGGCATCGGGAAAAAAAGGCCTATTTTTGTTTCAAAGAACCAGAGAAAAGGGGAATTTCAGCTCAGTTCTTGTAGACTGAAGTGGAATATCTTCTATTTTTCTGATGTGAACTGCCTAACCCCCCAGATGCAACTTTTACATCTTTTTTTCCCCCTTTAGCTCATCAACTGCATGCATATTTGATGACTTGGAAACAATATCGGCAAAATAAATGAGCATTCTGCAGGGTTCCTGATGCGCTTAATTGTCTGTTGGCTTCACAAGAGAAGAAAGCTCTAACTCAAGGAATATAGATGGGGACAGCAGGAGGGATAAACGGTGACATTCGAAGCCATCATCCTTTTAAAATCTCCAGAAGTTCCTTAAATCAGGGATGGGAAACCATCCTCACGTGCACAGCTCCAGTACGGTGGGCTGCTCTAAATCTGAGAAGAGGACTCATCCTTTTTATTCCCCTGCTGCTTTTCTTTCTCCTTCTCTCCATTCTTCTTCTACCCAGCCCATACATTGCTGCACAATCTTTCCCTACTGTATTAAAGAAACACCCACTGTTGCCCCGATGCAACACAATCTGAGGCCTTATTTCTTTCCCCTTTGGGTTGCAAGTTGAAGTAGAAAACAGTGTGTATGTGTGTGTGTGTGTGAAAGAGAGAGAGAGAAAAGAAGAAGAAGAAGAAGGAGGAGGAGGAGGAGGAGGAGGAGGAGGAGGAGCAGGAGGAGGAAGAGGAGGAGGAGGAGCAGGAGGAGGAAGAGGAAGAGGAGGAGGAGGAGGAGGAGAGGGAGGGAGACAGAGACAGAGAAAAGAAGAAGGAGAAGGAGAAGAAGGAGGAGGAGGGAGAGAGAGAGAGAGAATTTTGTTGTATAAGGACACTCCTTTTTGCCTGTGGATTAAAAAAAGGGGGGGAACCCAGTAACTCATTTATTGGAGTCCTTGGTATTGTCTGAACTTGGTGGTTTTCTGCAGATGTTTCATTGCACTGATGATATAATCTAGTTGGATAATAAACATCTGCAAATCAACACCCAATCTCAGAGAGCACCAAGGACCCCACAGTCCTCCTCCTCTCCTCTCCACAAACCCAACTCCCTTCTAGCACTGAGGATGTTCCCTAGTTGGGTAATGAAACATCTCTCCCCTCCCCCCAAAAAAGAGAAAGACGCCTCCACCAATCTCAGAGAGGACCCCACGGTTACAAATATCCTCCTCCATCGCTATCCCATTTATTGTTGGCACCACAAAATACGTCAACGTCAGAACTGTTTATCTTATTTCTGCCAACCGACAGGGCAGAGTTGTGGCTATTGTCAAGAAACGTCCATCGGGTGGCTTGTTAAACATGGATTCTGCCCTCCGTAGTGGGGTTTTCTCATTACGCCCGCAAAACTACAAGCCCCCCTATTGGTTTTTCTCGCCCTTTCTAATCTGCCGGCTTAATTGGGTGTGCGATTATTTAAATGTCACTGCCAGCCAGCTCATTTATGGACGGGTGAACAAAAGGAGGGGAGGGGGGAAGGAGAAGGGGAAACCGAGAGAAATAAATTAATAAAACATATTCACCCGCTTGTCTTCCGCTAGGGGGGGGGGGGAATGAAGAGTTTAACGGTGAGGAAGCTGGTCCCCATCTGGTGCTTGCCTTGGCGAAGCACGGGCGGGCGTGATGGATTTATCGTGGCATTACTATGCCTGATGTGAAATAATCTAACGGCAAGGCGGTTATAGCCCTAAAGAGAGCCATCAGATGCTTAGGAGACATGGATGTTTGAAGGGATTAACTATGCTTAAATCAATACGGGTCATGAAAACAGAACTAACCAATCTTGTGGTCACTCAATTATTTAAGGCGAGCGGCTGTATTCCCAACAGGGTGGAATTAAACACATGCTTAAGGGGAACTGCCAATTAAAGCCAGGCCCTTTACGGCTGAGTTAAAGGGAGAGCGGAATGGCGGTTCGAAGGAAGGCGCAATTTCCCTCGCGTCCGAAAAGCAGCATCTGGCAACATCTGGTAGGTAAGAAAAGGTGAAGCCGAGAAACTTTGGTCCTGGATTGTTTGAGCTCTGATAATAATTGGTGGGTAGGAGAAAACAAAGAATAAGAATTTCTACTTAGGAAACCAACATTTAGGGGGAAATGCTGGAACGGAGCCATCAGGCACCTGTTTTTCCTACAATCTGTCCAATGGAGAGCAAACCCCACCCCCTTCTAGCACTGATAATATTACCTAGTTGGGTCACGAAACGTCTGCAAGAAAACCACCAAGTGCAGAGAGCACCAAGGACTTCTCATTTCAACCCTGAGCTACCAATATTCTCCTTTATTGTTACCTTGGTCTTTCTCTCCAGTTGGATAGATTACTGAAGTAGGTAGTAGACCTCTCCCATGTTTAGGACCTAAGAATACTAAAGAGGAAATCGTGCAAGCCTGGAAGCCTGACTAGAAGGAAGATGAAACCCGAAGCTGCCTCTTCTAAAGTTGCTAATTATAAGAATATTGGCAAAAAAGCATAATCGGGGCAGACAACCGGCAGACGCCGATCGATTCCAGACCTTCAGAGTGGATTTATTGAAGGACGCTTCAAGAAGAGTCTTGTCCTTCCCCGTTCCATGAACGGAACAATTGCCCTGATGGATGGGAATGGATTGTTTTCCACTCTGAACTTGAAACCTGGTCTGTAACTCATCGATGTCTCAGTTCTGATCAAATATATTGAGAGCGGATGTCCCTGATGTTCCTCTCTCTCTCTTCTCAGATCCTATACAGGTAGTCCTCAACTTACGATCACAGCTGAGCCCAATGTTTCTATCGCTAAGCAAGACAGTTCTTGAGTTTTGTCCCATTTTACCACCTTCTTGTTAAGTGAATCATTGCAGTTAAGTTAGCAACACGGCTGGCCAATGACCCACCAAAAAGCCAGAGGGCTAGAAACTTTCTGAGCAACTCAAAAGCCAATCTCACCATCACGTTCAGAGTAGGAGAGAGAGAGAGAATCCCTGAGCATTTTTCTCCACCCTTTGGTTTTTGTGACATCAGGAGCTTTCCACCTCTCCGTCCTCTTAATATATTTGGGTGCATTTTTTTTTTAAATGACATTTCCAGCAGACTTTCTCTGAAGATTATGCTGGAGACAGGCTGCCAGGAATGAAACGAGAACTGGGGAGGGAGGGGTTATAGGAGAGGGGGGGGCGGAGGAGGAATCCAAGGTGAACATTCCAGAGCCATTACTTGGATCTGCACCTTTGCGCAGGAGATGAGACGGCCCCAGGCTCTCCACGCTGCGCCTTGAGGTGTAAGGATAGCCGCAAATGGCTAATCAGGATCATCTGTTCGGGTTTTCATTTTTCAGCGTTATTAGTGCTTCTTGGGACATGGCTGAGGAATGTGACAGATGCTTTTGAAGTCAAGAGCAAGGGGATTGTAAGGCTGGAGGCGTTTTTGGTGGCGTGCCGGTGACCTTCCTCCTTCACCTCTGGAGAGTGGGTGCCAGGAGTGGGGGGGGGGAGAGAGAAACCCTCCTTTCTGTTTACACGGGAAAGAAAGGAGAAGAGAAGGGGGCACATGCAAAAAGCCGGATATGGATAAAAGCAGGACAGTTAAAAGGCCTTTTAAACTTGGAGCAAATAATAAATGTCCACGAAAGTCATGAGTGGTATGAATAAGATGGAGAGTTGTGTTTCCCTTCCTTTATCTTTCCTCCTCTCCCTTTTCTTTCCTTTTCCTTTTCCTCCCATCTTTCCTTCTCCTTCTCCCTTTCCTTTCCTTTCCTTTCCTTTCCTTTCCTTTCCTTTCCCCTTTTCTTACCCACTCTCAGCCAGCCATTGAAACTTAACCTGGGGACCTTCACAAGGGCTAATCGAGATCTTTCTTTCCAAATGCAACTCACTCCTACTGGACACGGTCGTGGCCACTCGCTGGTACCCTCGTAAAAAAAAAAAAAGAACCTGGAAGAATTCATCAAGGATCCCATGAATTCTCACCTGTTCACTAGAGGCAGACAGGCATGTTCCTGAAGATACGTTTCAAGTCAGGGAGAATTTGTTGAAATGCTCCCGTTGGATCCAATCTGCCAAGATTTCTTTTCGCTCACCCAATTCGAACCTGTCCCACAGCTTCACACAACTGTGCACACTGGCATGGAGACCAGCTGGATTGCTTGCAGTGCTCCGTACGAAGACTTGAGCCTCACCCTCCTCGTTTCACAGAAGCCTACCTGTTGCGACACAAATAGAATCCTTTAAAGCCCTTAAAATTAAAATCAAATGAACATGGAGGTCTCTTAAATTCCAGAACGCATCTGGCTGGCCATTGGAATGGCAGGGGAGGAAGATGCAAGGAAACAATGTGTGCGCGTAGGTGTGTGCACATTCTCCATTCTCAGTTTCCCAAAGGGCTTTTTTTTACCTCTGTGCAGGCAGTCCTTGACTTACGACCATGACCGAGCCCAAAATGTATGTCGCTAAGTGAGACAGTTATGTGAATTTTGCCCCATTTTAGCAATTGAATAACTGCAGTGACTTTAAATTGGTAACCCCGGTTGTTAAATGGATCTGGACTTCCCCATTGACTTTGCTTGTCGGAAGGTTGCAAAAGGGGATGATGTGACCCCGGACTCTGCTACCGTCGTAAATATGAGTCAGTTGAAGCATCTGAATTTTGATCACGCGACCACGGGGACGCTGCAACGGTCGTTTAAGTGTGAAACAGGGCCATAAGCCACTTTTTTCAATGCCATTGTGACTTTGAATGGTCACTTTATGAATTGTTACAGCTGTACAAAGCATTGCTGGCTGTGGAATTCTGGGAGTTGAAGTCCACATGCCTTAAAATTGTCAAGTTTGGGAAACACTGTCCTAGACAAATGAGTGTTTTCGTTAGCTGGTGACACCATTTTTCTATCTCTTTAACAGGGATCTATTTGTTAGGATCTGCCGAGATCGTGATTGACGGCAGGTGAATGAAACCGTCGAAACATTTGAGGAACCAGGGAGGTGTTAGGAAAGATTTCTCCAATGTCTTACGCGAAAGCATTTTGATTTTTAGCAGGAAAAAAAATTCTTCCTCTTAGCGCGGGGCAACGTCGAAAGTTATTGGCTTTTGAATTCCTCTTCCACCCTCCCAGAACTTCCACCCTGCCCTCTCTGAAGTGGTCCAGCTTCAACCACTCTCTAAAATGCAACAACATTAAATTGGCACAGCTTAGAAGCGTAATACGGACTTCCTTGCTGTGGTTTGGCAAAATTTATAATTGGAGATGCATTCTTTAAGAACGCTCCGGCTGGGCTAGCAAAGGCTGCCTCTGCCGGTTGTACTGGTGAACTGCAGTGTTTGAGCTAAGCATTGCGTCTCCATTCCTGAATGTCTAGATTCTCCATCATCCAGGTCATCAAGAGGCAAATGGACTTTCTTGACTTTTCCTTGAAGAGTTTTCGCTTCTCAACCCAGAAGCTTCTTCGGCTCTGACTGAACGGTGGAGAAATTTCGGTTTCTCCGAAGAACAGTGGAAGGAATTGGGTAGGGCTAGGCTACTGAAAAGAAAGACCAGCAGTGAACAGGATAGCGGTCTTCCAATATTTAAGGGGCTGCCACAAAGAAGAGGGGGTTCAATGCACCTAAAGGCAGAACAAGAAGCAACGGAGGGAAACAACTGAAGGAGAGAAGCAACCTGGAATTCAGGAGAAAATTCCTGGCAGGGGGAAAAATTAACCAGTGGAACGACTTGCCTCCAGAAGTTGTGGGACCTCCCTCCATCACTGGAGGTTTTTAAACAAGAGATTGGGCAACTATTTGTCTGAAATGGCATAGGGTCCCCTGCATGACCAGTGGGCTGGACTAGGAGACCTCCAGGGTCCCTTCCGACTTTGTTATTTTGTAGATCTGCTAACTAGATGGCAATTTTTATAGCCTCACTTCTCCACCTATGGCAAATTTCAGGAGTATAAATATGCCCTCCCTCCCCTCTTCTCTCCCTCCCCCAATGTTTCCCTCTTCGGGGTAAATTATACAACTTGGCACTTGGTTGGGATGCCTTCCAGTGACTACTGAATTTTCTCTCTCTCTCTCTCTCTTCGCCAGGATTCCTAGGTGTGGCAGGAAGCAACTCTTACGTTGCCTAGCTTGTTTTTCTTCTCTTGGTTCTCTCTTCTCCTTCTCCCCTTCATCTCACTGGTATGTGCATTCCTAGCAAGCATTAGTTGGGCCTAACAACCACGGAGAGGGAGGGAGGGGAACATGTAGCGCCTGCAGGAGGCCTGCCGAACCGACTGTTGAGGCATGATGAAACAGTGTCTTTCTCAACAACACCTGATGTGGTTGTAATTTAATGCATCTTCTTTGCAAGGGAAAGGCTCGTGGCCTAATCTTGGGTGGTGGCTCTCTTAAGAGGCCAGGCTAGCAAGGACGTGGCTTTTAAGCCATGAGATCAGCAGACAAACCTAGATGAAAAGGGAGCAGAAGATCAGCAGACAAGCCACAAACTTCCCTTCTGTCACTTGAAACCTAAAGCTTCTAAGACAGGTAATCCTCAGTTTACAACAGTTCATTTAGTGACTGCCCAAAGTTACAACGGCACGGGGGGGGGGGGAAAGTGACTTATGACCCTTTTTCATACTTACAACCGTGGCAGCATCCCTGTGGTCACGTGATCCAAATTTAGGCCCCATGACTTTCAAAGGAATTTGGGAAAGTTGAGGTTGCTTCAGGGCTACTGGCTGCTGCTGCTGCCACCATCATATGATCTTTATTTTCAACATTCTATGACAGTTTCCCAGCCAATCTAGCAATCCCTCACTCCCACCCAGTAACAGCCACTCATCAAATACTGTGAAATTCCGGTCATCTCACCTGAGACATCTGATTTTTCAATTGTTTTACTTCTTTGGTATTTTATTCTGATGGAAGGGGGGTGAAGGGGAAATTTTTCGAGAAAACAGATGTATCCGTGAATGTCCTACTGGCTAGCATGCATATTATTGCTCTGATCTGAAATATATTTTCATCTAGTATTGGAAATCTTACCTACGACTTTTATCCAAAGAGACTGTTCGAACACACGCTTTGCACAGAGTGTTGTCATGCACATGGAGTTGGCCTTCCAAAAAGCAAGTTGTCACAGATCTTTTCCGCTCGGTTTGCGTGAGGCAGGGGATGCACGAGCCAAGTACAAGGATAAAATGTTCAAAGCAGAGATCCTGAAGGGTTGATAGGCTGATCTGAACGGGTTCCGGATCCTACAAGGTGCCTGGGAAAAAAAAATGACAAGCTTTTTGAAGTTAGGGAAAGAAAGCATTCACCAGCTCTTGTAGGCAACCCAGATGACTTCTACTGATTAGGAGGCCCTTGAGGCTTCTCACACTCACTTTTGGCAAAAAACAAAGCCCTGACTCATCCTCCGAGACTCAGGGGGGATGGGGGAGAAGGAGAAGACAAAGGAGGACACATTCAGAAGACAGAAATCAGCTCTTTCAACCCATCCTGTGGCTTGGTTTTGGGGAGATTCCAGGGAACTTGCAGAGGAAGGAGAGGAAACTAAGGAAAAAACACTGTAAGAGATGACCAGACTGACCTGAGGGAGGGGTTAAATGCGTCATCAGTCTCTTTGTGCCCACAAGAGATCTAGGTCCCGCCCACCTTGAACTCCGATGATTCTTCTCTGCCGCCAATTTGCTTTGACCATTAGTAATTCAGATTCTATCTATCTATCTGTCTGTCTGTCTGTCTGTCTGTCTGCCTGCCTGCCTGCCTGCCTGCCTGCCTACCTATTCACATACACACACAAACACACACACATAAATTATTAGACGGATGCCATTAGTAAATGCACATAAACGCCCAAATCCAGATCTCCAGAAGGAAGACAGTATCCAATCTGAGATAAATTTGGCTTTTCTTGAAAACGGGGTACGTTAGCCGATGTCCCCTCCTCACTTTCTGCTCAGCAAGAACAAGGACGTATCAATAACCTACTTCATGACTGATCGATCGCTCTCAATTTGCCTCTTCCTCTTAAAAAAAAAAAAGGCAAGGCATTTTACTCCTCCAAAATAAACATCTGCAGCACTGAATGTAACCCGCATTAGTGTAAATCCCAGTTATGAGGCTCTTGAAAACTATGACTAATCTTATCCAGACACTGCAGAGTGACATGCTACGGTTAGTTGTCACTGGGCCGAGTAGGGCTTATTCTTACTACTGGGATGGAAAAAGGAAGGACAGGAGATCAAGCGGCTTGTACAAAATTGTCGATGTGTGGCAGGGATTAGAAGTGGCCCTTTTGGATAGGTGGAAGATGTTGGGATGGGCAGACATGTGGGTGGCACCGCCTTCCGACCTCATATTGCTTCCCATAGAGGTTCTTCAATCCACCCAAAAGCAAAACACACGTCTAGACTTTCACCCTTAAAAAAAAAGGGGGGGGGAGCCCTCTCTTTCCAGCGATTTGCATGCATTTAGCAAAGGGAGGAACAGCAAATCTCTTTTTCCTTGTCAGCAAAACTCTCTCCTTCCACCGGCAGTGTGGAGCCGACAGGCGGTAGGTTCGTGCATAATTAGCTGTGGAGACACCATCTCCTGATGAGTTGTGTGGGGTTTTTTTTTGTTTTTGCTAGTGTTCCTTTGGCGCAATCGCTGGGTGGCAGTTTGCTAGTGGGTGGCAAGGAAATGGCACCTTCACTGAGATGGATATTTTCAGCTGGGTCTCTTAAGAATGAAGTAGATTTCAACCAATAGTATAACCTTCAGATAGAACAGAATAGTTGTAACTCAAGGTTGAAATCTGGGGTCCTTGGTGCTCTCTGAGCTTGGTGGTTTTCTTGCAGACTTTTCATTGCCAAACCAGGTAACGTCATCCATGCTAGAAGGAAGTGGGGTTTGTGGAGAGGAGGAGGAGGAGGAGGAGGAGGCGAATGGCTGTGGGGTCCTTAATGCTCCCTAAGCTTGGTGGTTTTCTTGCAGACCTTTCATTGCCAAACCAGGTAACATCATCCATGCTAGAATCCATGTATTCTATTCTATTAGGAAACCCACAAATACATTAGGGGAGGGGAAATGACGCCTTTAACCTTGTGTGTTTGTGGGTGTGGTGTTTCTGTGTCTCTCTCTATGTGTGAATGTGTAGGAGGTAGACCAAGCCTTTGGTGAACATCTAATGAGCTTATCTCTCAGGCTTTCCAGAACTGGCCAAGCCCAGCTGCCGCCCCCACCGGCTGTTGCAGTGACTCACAGACAATTTGTGAAGGGAACACCAGGTCTCCAACTCCTGTTCTGGCACTTTGATTTGAGAAAGTTTCTGGAGATGTGCCCTGAAGGAGATTTGCTTTGAGAACGTTCTCCCCACACGAGCTCTCCTGAACAGACTGCCTTCTATCTATCCTCCTCTGAGTTTCTGCCAGGTTTCAGAGGCTGTAACATTAGCCTACCATGGTTGCTGCAAGTGGTTGAAGACCATGGCTGGGTTGATGGCTCTCTATTGAATCGTCAGCCTTCCTCGGTTAGACCAGACAGGGAAACACAAGAAATGAGCTAATTCTACTTTCCGGTAAGACCGTCTTGCAAGTCTACAATTCTCCATCCATCCTCTTTTACAACCTGAGACACTGAAAGGGAATTTCCTTGGTGTTTCTCTCTTATGCAACTCCCTTATGCAACTGTGGGTTATGCCTTCCCTTATCTGAACATTCCCTAAGCAGCATCTCTATCCCTCATCACCCCTTCTCCCAGAGTCATTCTTACATCCAGAGTAGGAGGAAGCAAGTTATCCCTGATGTCACCAACCACTGTAGCCAACTTCAGATGTGGCCTGCAAGATATCTTGGACAGAAGCTACCTTCTGTCAGACAGATGTGATTCCATTTCCCGAGCTTTAAAACCAACGCTTCCAAAAAACTTCGAGAACTTAAGGAACGACTCTACTACGGACAGTGGAGTCCTTGGGTCACTTTTGCTGCTGTCTGCTGTTGTTTTGAAAGGTGTACACTGCATCTCTGGCCCTTGAAAGGTCCTCTGCTTGGAGTTGCGAGACCTTTTCTGGCAGCTTCAAAGCCAACTCAAGAGTTCTGAGTCACAATGAAAAGATGACACCACCCTTTTCTTTTATTACCAGGCTGCTTCTCCAGGGAGGGGGTGAAGGGTGGGAGTAGAGGAGATGGGGGGGGGGCTATGCTTGATATTTTCTAATGCCAAAGAGCGAATGAATGCCATCCGGTTGAGGAAAAGGAAGAAGAGAAAAAGAGAAAAGAAAGCAGGTCACCCGCCACGGCTGACAAAAGTTCTTTCTTTGTCCTTTTATAGCCAGCAACAAAAGACTGCTTGGAAGGCTACAGCTGGGATCAGGCCCTGAGGCTGTTCCCCCTCCCAGTCTTTCCCCACCTCTCTTGACACTCCATCCCCGTCTCCATTCAGCTCAGCTGGGTGTGTGTCCCCCGAACAATAGAAGAACAAGCTACGGGCACAATGGAGGTTGATTTTGGCTGACCTTCTTAGTTGGGGTGTCACTCCTGGCTATCAATGAAGAGAATGGGGAGGGGATCTCTTAAGGCTTTTATGTCCCCCCCCCCAATCCTTGCAAAGCTAAAAGGGGCACGTGTGATGCCTGGGCCTAGTGAAGAGAGGGGTCTGCAACTAGATACCATTTTAAATTCTCCTCCTCCTCACCACCACCATCAAAATGGACCAATTTGTACTGCCAAGGCCAATAGGAAGCCATCAGTTTGTACGATGGTTTCTCTTTGGTTTGCATCAACTGGACCTTTTTAGGGCTCAGGACGAAATGCTTATTAGTTCGCAGCATCTAGTATCAACTACTTTTGGGGGGGGGGTGCTTTTTCAAAACGGCAACTGGATCTTGTTTTTTTTTTCTCCTTGAAGATGTTTCGCTTCTCATCCGAGAAACTTCTTCAGTTCACGAAGCAGGCTTGGATGAGAAATGAAATGTCTGCAAGGGAAAAACAAAACAAAACAAAGAACTTTGGGACAACTATGACTTGGAAGATGGAGAATCTCCGTAGACGTCTACTTTTGGGGGAGGGAGAAGAATTTGGGGTTCCCTGAAGGATGTAGATCACCTTGATCAGCATCATCACTCTGTCAGTGGTTCAAGAAAAGGCCTTCACCGCCCCCCAGCATTTGAATAACATACCTGGGGTGAAGGTACCTATATACAGAATGCTTATATTTCCTTACTTAAATCTATATTTTCCCTCACCAGCACTTTTAACTTTTCCCCCCCAAAGTGGGGGATTTCTTGGTTGGTGCTTATGGAAACGGACCTGAACAGAAGACAACTGAAAGACAGAAGAATAATGGTTTTCTTCTAAACCATTCTGGTCAGAAAGGGTATGTTGTCACGGTGCAAGATTGCAGGAACTCCAAGATCCATCAAACTCTTTCTCTGCTTACAGAAGAAACCTTCCCTATCTATCTCAGAAGCATAACGCTCTCCATCTCATAAGAAGCAAATGCAAAAACAAAAACAAAACCCAGAATTAAGAACCATCCTTAGTCAGGAACCTTCTATCATCCCCTTGGCTAAGGATTACATCTTGTTTCCAGGCCTATAACATGCCAAGAATTTTGAGTGTGGAGAAGGATTAATGGATGGAATCTTATCAAGGAGAGACCCAATCTAGAAGGAAGGAGAAACTTCCTGACAGTGAGAATAATTCATCCGTGGAACGGAAGTTGCCTCCAGATACTGTGGGTGCTCCAACACTGGAGGTTTTTAAAGAAGAAACCGGACAATCATTTGTCCTGACTGATATAAGGTCTCCTGCTTGAGCAGTGGGCTGGACTAGAAGACCTCCAAGGTCCCTTCCTGTCTATGGAGATTCTCAATCATCCAAGGGATGGTTGTCCCAAAGCTGCTTTTTGCAAAAGGCAACTGGACTTTGTTGGCCTTTCCCTTGAAAATGTTTCTCTTCTCATCCAAGAAGCTTACGAAGAAGCTTCTGGGATGAGAAGCTAAATGTTTTTTCCAGGACAAACGGTGTCCAGTCACCTTTTGGAAAAGCATCTCTGAATTATTATTCCGTAACGTGTGTGTGTGCAGAGAGAGCCAAGAAGCAACGGGTTCTGTTGTGTTGGCTGCTGATGCTGCTCACGCTGTCATGTTCCTGGTCTCCTTCAGCAGTTTTTCAAATGATAAAGAGATCCTTTGAGATCAATTTTGTCTCCCTTCCCCCCCCTACAGAAGACTTTGAACACATACCCCCCTGGCCCGTGGAAATTTAAGACGAAAGAAAAATA